AGTCCTGGGACGGGCAAGGTGGGAGCCGGGCGGCGGAGGGGATGGAGAGTGTGGAAGGGCACCCGGAAGCAAAGCGAGGAGTTGCCTTGGGAGCTGGTGGTTGGACCTAGCGGAGAGGGTCTGAGCCCCAGGTGCTGCAGCATCTCTGGAGGAAGATGGAGAGGTGACACAGTGCAGGAGCACCTGCTGGTGAGAAGTCAGCGGACTCAAAAGGGCTTTTTAATCTAGCTGGAGAAAAGTGAGAATGTAAATCAGATGGACAGGAGCCAATGCCAAGCGCGTTCAAACGAGACTTGAGGTGTGTTTCTGGCCCAGTTTCCCGGGGAAATGAGGCTCAGGCAATCGCGCTGGCTGCGCGTGGAAGTGTGTCTCTCTATTTCATGAATCTGTCGGCTGACTTCCCCCAAATTGCACAGAAGGGTAGAGGTTCCCGTTAATGTCTTTAAAATAGGCAGCTGGGGGAGGGAGAGGCTTTACTGAGGGAAAACCTAATGGGCTCAACGCTTTATGAGACGCCAGAGAATCTGCACTGGCAGGCAGTGGTGGGAAGCAGGCGTCACCAGCTCCGGTGGGAGCCACCCACCGTAGCAGAACCAGGCCCAGGCTCTTGGGCCACTGGGAGGCCTGGGGCATCTCGGCTCTCTGCCTCGGTTTCCCCGCTAGTGACACTGTGGACGTTTGGAGCTTGGCGGATGGGAAGGGCTGGGTGAAGGCCAGGTCTTCTCCAGAACTGCCCGTAAAATATTGGCTGGAACTTGCCCGCTAAACCGCCTTTGGAAAACCGAAACAGTTTTTGGTGTGAAATGTGGTCGGTTTCACCCATTTCATTTAAAAGAAGAGGAGAGAAAGATGGATTTTCTGCTGTGAAATTGACTGGAGATTATACTTGGGAAATGTAAAACGGGGCTGAAATAAAAACCAGACTATTCCAGCTGCTCTGAAGTGAGTTGCTGGCGTTTTTCAGTTTGCTTTGCAAAACCCCCAGGAATCAAAATAGGAGGTTTTTCCTCCCACTTTGCCTGGAGGAGTAATAACAAGTAGTCCCAAACTTCCTCGCAGCAGAAACGCCGGGTTTGGATGTCACGTTGCAGTCCCGTCCCCATCGTTGCCCGATTTCTGTTCCCCGGGGGCTTCTGCCTGAAGCCGTAGGGGGAGATGGGGGGGGAGGATTTGAGGTGCTTTCCCCATGGCCGCGGGCTCCGGCGGACGTGGGATCAGGCCTCGCGCCTGTGCCCGCGCTGCCAGACGTCCCGGGAC